TATATTTTTCTAGACTTGGATTATTTATAATATTTCAAAATATTTTCATATAATCTTTATGAAAAGTATAGCATATTCAAAATATAAAAATAATTTATATCTATTAAATTTGATAAATACTAGATGTTATAAAAATACCAATAAGATAATACCCTTGCTAATGTTATGCTTTTTATTTATTTTGAATAAATTAAGTTGTAGATGTATCCCAGTGGACACGGACAAAAAAAAGACGTCTTTTAAACGTCTTATACACGTTTTTAACGTCTTTTGAACGCCTTTTGGGCGTTTTGGACGTCTTTTGGACGTTCAAAAGACGTATTTTTTTGATCCGATGCCAACTGGGTATATAGTAGATCTATTTGTTGAAGGTTAAGTAATTATATTCGTTTAAGATTAAATTATTTTATTGGTTTAAGATTAAGTTAAGCTTAGCTATTTAATCCACAACATATGTAAAGCTAGGCTGTTCAACAAGCTATGCATATTACAGTGTGTGTAGATTTATGAAATAGAATTTAAAAATTGAATAAAAATAGAACATGTATGATAAATTGATAAGACAGTAGTAATTTTTTGTTTTTGTTTTTTAGGTATTGGCAGGCAGTAAGCCATCAAGCTTACCTTCATGCATAAAGATTAAAAGAATCTTCAACTACAAGCCAAATTAAAATATTTTTCATAGCAGCATGTTCTAAAAAGAATTTGTATTTTATTTACTAAGTAGACTACTTATACTTCATAATTACTTTGGGGTGGTGGGTCCCCATTCAATCTATTTTTTGTTAAATGTACTGTATAAAGTTTTTTACTATTTAAATATTTTTTTTGTATCGAAAAACTATAAAAAAAATTAAAAATAATAAAAAAAACTAATGACATTAATAATTGGAGTAAAAAGGCAAAAAAGGACCCTACGAGAAGCTTCTCGAGAAGCTTGAATAGCAGAAAACTTTTTTTTTGTGGAAAACTTTTTTACGAAAAAGTTTGATTATTTTTTTATATTAACACGAAAATGGCTAAATTGAGTGTTTTACAATAAAAAATAATTATTTAAGAAGTAAAATTCAAGTTCCTTGATAAATTTTTCATAAGAACCAATAAAAGAATACTTTTTGAGAAAATGTCAAAAAAAAAGGGGATCTACCACCTTAAACTATTTGTAAATATTGTTTTACGTTGGTTTTTCACAAAATTTTAGTTTAAAAAATTATTTTATATATAGATTTTTTAGTTTTTAAATTTTTTATTTAGGAGTATTTATAATTGGAGTATTTTTTATAATACTTTTTCTGAAAATATCAATTTGATATTATGCTATCGACGCGAGAGTATAATCTCAAGATATATTAAAAATGGAATAATGAGGTATATAGTCCTATGATCAATACGCTTTGTTTTCTTATAAATCAAGTTCAAGTTTAGTGCAAAATGTCTGTACCGATAGAAACCACTCGCAGAAAACTTTTGATATTGGTTGGTCTATTAAAATTTCATTGTTATTTTTACATGGTTTTCACTTACAATGGCTGTAAGTGTGAAAACACGCGCTAACTGGCAATCGGGTGATTTTTGAACAAAAATTAACGCCGCGATAGCGCAAAAAACGAGAAAAATAACACTTTTTTTAGATTACTCGAACACCTTAACAGATACAGCAATTTAAGCATGTTATTTCAATTCCCAGCCCAAAAAACATTACAAATAACATATTATTAAGCCTGTTTTGGAGGGAAAAAGTAATCCGCTTTAAAAAATGGCCGTTTTGGCCGCCATTTCGAAAAAATGCCCGCTATCTGACATAAAGACGTGAATAAGCCAAAAATTTGAGCAGCCGTGGCGCACTTGCCTCAGAATCGTAAGATCCGTGGTTCAAACCCCACCTCTGGGCAAGCTTTGTGACATCGGTTTGGAAGGAGGCGTGAACTTCCTATTAATTGCTCTTCTACGGTGCTCTGTGCACAGAGCACCGTATCACATGTGATAAGACCGTAAGGAATTCTTGGGGCACCTTAATTAACTTAAAAAAAAAAAAATCCCTGATAATTGTGTTCAGCGCATCAAATAGCCTCAGGGTTCACTCTTTCCAAATAAATTTTATCATGTACTTTATCTTATTATTCAAGGCTACACTTTTGCGTTTTAAAGCCACACATGTAATTATGAAATTAAACTTGATTATAGGCGTAAAAAAAGCCACACTTTGAGTTGCACTTTCTTGGATTCTCGTATCGAATTATTCGGAAAAGAGGCTAGAATCATAATTAAATTAAAACTTCTATTATGGATTGTTCTCAAGTATATAAATATATATAAAAAACCGTTAAATACAAAACAAAAACAAAAAAAAAAAAAAAAAAAAGGTTTGTATTTAACGGTTTTTTTATATATATTTATATACTTGACAACGAGGGTATCAATAAAAAATTTAAAAATTAATAAAGAGTTACATCCATAATAGAAGTTTTAATTTAATTAAAGGCTAGAATCATGTTTCAAGCGACATGTTTTTTTTATGAACCATATACAGTTTTACCGAAAATTTTAGCGTAACTTTTATTGTTGCATGGTAATTTTAAGCACATACATAGTTAACTTTTTCATAAAGAAATATTTGGTTTGTAATAATTTAGTAATATCGTATAAAATATGTTAAGCGAGGAAAATATCGATTTTCAGTTGTTAAAAATTAGGTAGACCTTCGGTTTGTAGTACATTACTACATGAATTAGTTTAACTTATGTGACTTTATTTAATTAGACTTATTATTTTATATAAATTGTATTAAAAAAAACTAGTTATGTTAATACAATTATATTAGTAACGTTAACAACATTATTATGAAGTTATAAAAACTATAACATAACATTAATTATATAAAATAATAACATTGGTCTAAAAAAAATGAATAAAATATAGGGTTAAATAAAGTCACATAAGATTTCCAGTTAACTAGTAATCTGTTAACATAACACAAGTAATGTTGCTAACATAACTGTAAGTAAGATTGTTAAATAATATTGTCAACGTTAAACGTTAATGTCGTTAAAGTTAATTTTGTTATGTTATAACATAATGCAAAATATTTAATACATAAATATTATTAAATAAATATGATATTGGTGTGATTTTAGTTAAAATAGCAGTATTTTAGTTATATTAACAACAACTATTTTAGTTATCATATGTTAACAGCTAGATATATGTGTATACCATAAAGGTATACTTTACATGATGTACATGTCTTTTTTTTGCTGAGATAACTAATAAAAATCATTATAGCATGATATTCAATAATGATTTTATTAGTTATGATTATGATTTTTAGTCATGTTACATGTTGAAATAATGTATTAAATAATTTCTTCATACCTATAAAAGCACTTTAATAAAATTATATTAATTTATGCAATAAATGCACGATGGCAACTATGATTTACAGTGCTATAATATGTATGCATTGCATATATATATATATATATATATATATATATATATATATATATATATATATATATAAATGTATATATATATATATATATATATATATATATATATATATATATATTTATATATATATATATATATATATATATATATATATATATATATATATATATATATAAATGTATATATATATATATATATATATATATATATATATATATATATATATATATATATATATATATATATATATATATATATATATATATATATATATATATATATATATATATATATATATATTATTTTTTCTGATAAAAGTTATGAAAATGTTTATTTGCTTTATATGTGGTACTTTTTCGAAACTATTGATTTTTTTTCAAAATCATCTACAACATCATAATAGTAATGGCGAAATTGTTTATCCAATTAAATGTTTACAGAATGGCTGTAAATGTACTTTTACAGCTTTTATGTGGCTAGTTAGACATGTAAAATGTTACCATTATATTGATAAAAATTCTGAGCCAAAATATATAGTAAACCATTAAATGATAATCGTAACAATTTATTGCCTAATTTTTCAGAATATTCATTGCCTAGTTTCTCAGAATTCTACTTATCAAGTTTACACTTATCCTGAAAAAACAATAGAATATATTGATCCTTTGTTAGTTTCTTTATTGTAAACAAGCAGCAGTGTTCCTTATTATATTATACCTGAAGTAATTGTTTCTATTAACAATATTTCATAATCATTAGTTTCCTATATTTATTATATAATATTATATAAAAACTATTTCGAGCAGCGCTCGAAATAGTTTTTCAAAGCTTGCCAATCAAAAACCTTAAATTTTTCGAGGTTTCCTTAAACATTGCTGATCATTGATCGGCTGTTATTTCGAGCGGTGATATTGGTAATGCTGCTTTATCAGTTTTAAATTATATTGGAGCAGATTCCAAGATGAACAAGATAAACATATAAACAAGATAAACACTTAGAAAAAAATCTTTTTGTAACTCCTGAAACATGCAACATGGAGCCTCCTTGAAATGAAACTAAAGAGGAAATTTCAAAGATAGTTTTATTTCATTAAAGAGGTTTCAAGTAATATTACATTGCATAATGGCTTTAACACTTACAAAAAAAAAATTTTGTTACTACCAAGAGATTCAATGTTCAAAAATACTTTGTCAGAAGACAAATATAATGGAGGTATATATATGTCTACTACCCTAAGTGGGGAGAATAAATAAATAAGAACTTTATAACTTAAATGTGAATTTGTACAACATAATTGTCGATCTGCATAAGTGTTAAGGGACCATCCATAAAGGACATCATCTAAATAGAGGGGAAGGGGGTCGAGTTAAAAAGGACAAAAAAAAGACAAGGGGAGGGAGAGGTTGTCAGAAAAGGACGTCGCTTTATAGATTTTTTATTTTAGTTTAATTAACATAGAAAACTACGTAAACATGTGTTTTTGAAAAGATAATGTATGAGAATATTTTTAATTTTATTTTTCAAAGGTGTAGCAGCTGATTCAAACATCATTGCAAGATGAAATAAATTTTTTTGGAGTTAAAAATAGGGAGGGGGGTCAGGATTTTATGACGTCCTTTTCCAAGGGGTATAGGGAATAAGGACAACTGGTGACAAAGGAGGGGGGAGGAGGTCAAAAATTGGCTAAAAATAATGACGTCCTTTATGGATGGCCCCTAAACTGCTGCAACTTGACTATGTGCCATTCTGCAAAAGTGTAAAGTTTCTCTTTCTCATCTTATTTCATTTATTAGTTCCTAATGTAATATAACCTTTTAATCCAAAAGAAGATTTTTTTATAATCTGTCTACCAATAAAAGTTTATAAGTATATACAAGTTGTTCCCAGATTTGTATTTATTTTTATTTAGAAGATACAACTTTGCTTGCATTTAAGGCACTCCTTTTTCTTCTGATAGCGCCTCCACAGAAGGGCAAGAAGAGTCCAAGAATGGATCTTGATGCAATTTTGGCTTTATTTTATAGAGAAATGGATGTAGGTTTTTTCTATACATTTTTTTTTTAAAGTTAAAAAATCAAAAAGTATTACTTTTTTGAGCTTTGTATTTTCTGCATTTTTAAAATTTTATTTAAACATTTAGGTACACCTCAGTCTTGAAAGCTCCCTTGATTTATTGAAGAAGGAGAAAGTTTTTCAACCGATTTTATTCAAGTGTTGCGGCACTCTATTTATAATTCTAATTATAACTCTAATTATAAGTTGATAATACAGCTATACGGTTGGAAGCCATACCGAGTATTAGATTTGCTTTTGAGTTGCTGCTAGTCTCTTATTATGTATTTAATGTCAATTTTCCTCATGAATTTATTTGTGTATATGGATTTATGGGAAATTTGCTTGGAATAAACAGCAAAAGAATTATCGTCAATTCTTTTTAAAGAAAGTATTGCCAAAAGTTTAAGATAAAATTAACCAATATGTTTGTAAAACGAAAAAGTATTTTTAACACTTTTTCGTTTATTTTTGTTATATCGTCAGCCGAGAACTAAGAAGCCGTATGTCAATTTTTGGTGTTTCCAAGAAAATCGAGTTTTAAATTTTAATTCGCGAAGACTTTCAGCCAGAAAGTTCGACTGATTATTTAAATATTTTCTAAAATTTTATTGGTGTGGTATATTTATGGAACACGCACTCCTGGATATTTATTGATAATTGACAATAAAAAAACACCAAATGTTGACATACGGATCTTCTGTGACGGCGATATCTGTTTTTCAAAGTTTTAACTTCGCTTTTGCATATAAATGTTTCAAGACTTATTTTTACTTTAATTTTCACTGAATTGAGTTTGAACTGAATATACTTAAAAAAAATACTATAACAATGCATTTGGCCGGGTGATCACCCGGCCTAATTTTTATTCACGTGAATAAAAATGAGCAATTATATATATTTTACTTTATATATTTTATATATATTATATTTATTATATTTTATATAAATTTTAGCATTTATATCATTTTTATTCACGTGAATAAAAAAGAGCAATTGCTTTTACTCAGTAATTGGTTAGCTTTACATGAACAAAAACCTCACGAGTTTTGCTCAAATTTTTATTCACTTAAAGTTAAGCAATTTACTCAGTAATTGCTCAGCTTTACGTGAATAATAATAATAAAAAATTAAGCAAAATTGCTTATGCTTTTATTCACGTAAAGCTGACCAATTACTGAGTAAAAGCAATTGCTCGTTTTTATTCACCCGGCCTATTGACTCGGAATTAGAATAAAATTTATATTTCAGTTTTTATTATTTTATTGCGATATCATTCCGTTATTTCTTGTAAGCCAATATAATATACATGTGTAATTTAGTATGACTCTAAATGACAATGTGTAATTTAGTATATGATATAAATAACATGCTTTATTTGAATTATTTATTTGCGCCCGGTTACATACATAGTACGTGAAGACCTAAATGGACGAAATAAATCACGCATAAATATACTTTCAAAAAATCAAAATATTTATAACGTCTAGAAAAACACAGATTAGTGTATAAACTGTAGTGTTGCATTTAGCCCAACACTAATTTTGAGGTTTTTTACAACAGTTTTGTCGCGCAAAAAGAGCGTATATATATAGCCATTGATTAAATGCAACAATAATGTCGACAAAATTTCTACAAAAGTGTCGCATTCAAGGCCACAAAGTGCGGCTTTCAATTCTACATTTTATGTAGCCTTACAAATGTAACACTGAGTGTCGATTTTAAAGCCACATAGTGTTGGTGTAACCGGCGTCAACACTCGTTGTATTCTTCGCGACATAATGTAGCCTATGGCTCAACACTATTTTTAAGCGTGCATGCAATACCACTCGTATTTAAATCAAATTAAAATTAAATCTTGTATTTTGTTTATTTTATATTTTCATGGATAATATTTTTTTTATAACCATTATTTTTATATGTTAAGAAAATAAAATTAATCAAACTTTCTGTTATTAATGAAATATTTCTCCTGTTTTAGTATGTTGTTTTAGAAAAAATCTCTTTTTCTAAAATAATAAACTAAAACAGATTGGTATTTCAGCTACTTAAATATTAATTTTTCAGATATATTTCCAAAAATTACAAAACTAATTGTGAACTAAAATAAACTTATTAAACTCAAACTTCAGAAAAACACATAACCATCAATTTTAATGACAAGTTTTTAGTGAATATATTATGTACGGGTTATTAGGGGCGTGATGATAACTCTATTTTTTTCTTTTTCTTGCTAACCAAAATAAAAGTTATTTCTGGAAATGACTTACTGTAATAATTGTTGTCTCGAATAGACTCATTGAAATTTGTTCATTCCATACAATATTTTTATAAATATTAAATAAATATTAATAAATAAATTAAAATAATTAATAAGTTAAAATTCATTTTTGTTCGAGCGGTTGTTAAGAGTCATTTTTTGTAAGAATCAGGCAGTCAATGGAAGTGACCTCCTCCAAATTGCTTGAATTTTTTATATATTGATCAGAATATAGAGAAAACCTGTTGGGGAAAAAAAAAATTTTCAAAAATGTTTCGTTCACTCGGAATCTGGGCTTAAATTTTTGAGATTTTTTAAAAAATTTTTAGAAATTTAGTTTTTGCCACCTTTGAACCCATTTTTTTGGCAAGGCAAAAAGTTGCACATAACTTATGTAGTTAATATCAGACGTAACCCAAAAGCTCTCTCCAAAAAATATAAAAAAGTTGCGTGACACTGTGCGGTTGGCTAATTATCATAGTTCAAAAGTACAAAATCAATCAGTTTTGTCAATTTTTAATCGGAGTTAATTCTAGCGGCGAAGTGTTGCACACAATTTTTCTTTCAGGATTTGAAATTATCAAAGGTATTGAGTCTAAAAATGCAAAGAAAGTTATGTGATACCTAAGGCCTATTAATATATTAAGGCTTGAAATTGGAAAAAAATGTTATAGTATACTTACAAAATGAGCTATTACGGCAGAGGCGCTAAGTTTTGTAAAAATATAATCATGTTAAATGGTCAATATAAGATGACCCTAACATAGTTTAAAAAAAAACTCATGTGATCTTTAGATATTAAGTTAAAAATAAAGGTACAAATTGTTAAAAATGATTAAGTACGAAGAGATATTTTTTTGGACACACAGATGAGGTTTTCGCTCACAATAAAATTTCTATCATCCAAAATTAGCAATTAGCATTACACAAAACATTGCACATAATGTTAAGAAAAAATTTAAGCGTTTCTGACTATGATATAGAAATCATAACAATTGAAATAAATAATAATAAAAAACAATACATGATCAGAAGTGAATTATTTAAATTTAATTTATTTAGTCATAACCAAATAACTTGTGGTGATCGAATGTAAGAAGAATCGCTGATATCACGATTGTGGAGAAACAAGTTAGTGGGCGGTTGTTTACTTAACCATAAAAATGTCTTAACTTTATTTTAACGATCTTTAAAATTTGCATAAGTAGAGTAGATATTTTATCATTGCTATTGAGAAATAGGTACTGCATAAATAGAACTTGTTTTTAGTTGAGTATGGAACAAAACAAATATTTTTATGGAAACTGTTGTTGCTTTTCAAAAGGAAATTGTGGATCATTCAAAAAACATAAAATTATAAACACAAATGTTCTACATTCATCAGAAATTGCTGTAAAGGATGTATTCAACTACATAAAACACCTGATGAGAGATTCTCAACAGAAAAAGGCAAAAATCGAAGCTTTTTTTAAGCAATTAAACGATGAAACTGCTTTCTGGCTTAAAGATTTTTGTCAAAAAATTCTTCCGGTTCGATACAGAGAGGGCCAACGAAAGTATTTTGGCAAGAAAGGAATGAGTTTACATGTGGATATATTCTTCATAAAAATAGCAGGAAAGTTATTCAAACGTGTTTACTTTACTTCAATGTATAGGTGTGATCAGGGAATAGGTGATGTTGTTTCGTTAGCCACAGCAGTTTTAGACCAATTCAGAATTGATCAACCGCATATCAAGAAAATGTTTACCAAATCTAATAACGCCGGCTGCTATCAGGGAAATCTTTCAGCTGAAGCAATCTACAATGTATGCAAAGAGAGAGATATAAAGTTGCTGAGATATGATTATAATGAACCCTGTTGTGGAAAAGATCAATGTGACAGGGAGAGTGCAGTTGTAAAGACAATTTTAAGGAGTTACGCTGACTCTGGTAATAATCTTTTGACTGCTGAAGATATACACAAGGCTATGCATTATAGTTTTGGCGCTAAAGATGCAAAAGTAGCAGTTGCTCAAATTAGCAATGATAAAACTGTAGTTACTGGACCAAAGATTAAAAACATTAGCAACTATCACTCATTTGAGTTTGGTGAGAAAAGTATGTGGCGTTATTTCAATATCGGTGAGGGAATTGAACAAGAGTATGGAAATCTTAAAATTCAACCCTCGATTAAGTTGTTGTTGCCATATAGCAAAACAGATAATTCAATTAAGCGTAACAAGTCACTTAAGGAAAAACAGAAAAGAAGTGACAGGCAATTATATTCATTAAGATTTTGCACTGAAATGAATTTTACTTTCTCATTTGAAAGCGATGCTGAGTTAGAAGAACACATGCTATCCGGTCTTCATACAGTTCCGAAATCATTAACATCATTGGATAAAGTTCGCAACTCGTTTGTTCATAAGATGAAAATTACTTCACAACTAAATATGCCAATTTCTTCATCCTCTAACAGTGCTTCCGTAAAAGACAAACCACTTTGCATGAACATTTTTCTATTACAAGGTTGGGCATTACCGGTTCGAAGTTCTTTTAGATTTTCAAATCAGCAGAAAGAACTGTTGTATAAATACTTTATTCGTGGAGAAGAATCAGGTAATAAAATGAGCCCTGAGCAGGTTCACATGCAGCTGAGGAGAGAACTTCCGCCTGATCAATATGTAACTAGCCAACAGATAAGATCTTTATTTTCAAGGTAGGCATTGTTGCTTTCAAAGCTTTTGCAAATTAGATTATGTTTCTGACTGTTAAATAGTTCTTTTACAAATATGAAATTAAAATTTAGGTGAAAGTTATAATTTTGTGTGTTTGTTTACATATGTTTAAAAATATGTACAATTGATATTGTTATAGATTTAGTAACCTGAAAAGAAAAGGTAAGCTGGTAGAACCGACAACAGAAAATAATGAAAATAGTCAGGTTAACGATAACAAAGAAGTTTATGGCGAAAATGATGACTTTAATCTGACAGGAGACAAT